AATATTTTTTATTTCTGTAAGGTTAGTAATAATATTCCCTCTTTAATTCTTGATTTTAATAATTTGAATCTTCTCTCTTTTTTTCTTAGTCAATCTAGCTGAAATTTGGTCAACTGTGTTGGTTTGGTCAAGGAATCAACTTTTGGTTATTAAGTTTTGATATAACTTTTCTAATCTTTATTGCATCAATTAGTGCTCTATTTTTTATGTATTACTTTCTTTGGCTTACTTTAGCATTCATTTTCTCTCATTTTTCCAGTGTTTTCAGGTCGAAGTTTGGGAAATTGAGATCTTTCTTCTTTTATAATGTAAATATTTATGGCTATACATTTTCCTCTAAACATTGCTTTAAGTGCATCCAATTCACTTTAGTTTGGTGTGTTTTTGTTTTAATTTATCTCAAAGGATTTCTGAATTTCCTATATGACTTCTTATTTAATCACTGGTTATTTATGAATGTATTATTTAATTTCCAAATATTTATACATTTTTAAAATTTTCATCTTTTATTAATTTCTGATTTGACTCCAATGTCATTGGAGAATACACTTTGCATTATTCAAACCTTTTAACTTTACTGAGGCTTGTTTTATGGTCTAGCATATGGCCTGTCCTGAAGAAAGCTCCATGTGCACTTGTAAAGAAGATGTATATTCTACTGTTTGTGGGTGGATGGTCTATAGATGTTTGTTAGTAGTTTGTTTATAGTGTTGTTGTTTATAATTATATATCCTTTATAATCTTCTTCCCATGCTATACATTGTGGAAAGTGAGGTTTTGAAGTCCCTAACTATTATTGTTGAATTGTCTGTTTCGTTTCTTCCTTCAATTCCATAAGTTTTTGCTTTATGTACTTTGGGACATTGTTGTTAGGTATTTATATGATTATAATTATTACATTTTTCTCATAGATTGGCCCTTTTATCATTATTATGTGTCTTCCATATCTCCACTAACATTTTCTGGTCTTAAAGTTGATTTTGTTTGATATTAGCATAACCACTCTGGCTCTCTATAGTTACTAGTGGCATGATATATCTTTTTTCATTCTTTTACTTTCAACCTATCATCTGTGGACAATATATAGCTGAATCTTGTTTCTTTTTATCTAATTTAACAACTTACGACTTTTGATTTGACTATTTAATCCATTCACATTGCATAATTATTACTATGATTGGATATATGTTGACAATTTTACTCTTTGCTTTCTGTATGTCTTATATCACATTTTGTTCCTCTGTGCTACCTTTATTACTTTTTTTGTATTAAATTAATGTTTATAATATAATATTTTAATTTTTAGTGATTTTTACTATACTTTTTAGCTGTTTTCTTAGTGGTTGCCCCAGGGCTGACTAAGAAAAAAGTGAGATGACTCAAATTATGAAAATCAAGAATGAAAGAGGGAATATCATTACTAATTTTACAGAAATAAAAAGTATCATAAGGGAATAGTATGAACAATGTATATATTAATTTATCAGAATGATGTGTACTACCTTAATGTGAGTAAAATAGAGACACTTTACTCTTACGTAGCTCTATTCTGTCTTCCTCTTTTTTAATATTATTATTATACATATTACCTATATATGTAACAAACCTTGTTATAATTGTTACTTTATATAGTTTTATGTCTTTTAAAGAAGCTGAGAGAAGAAAGGAGAGAAATACATACTTATAGAATTTCTTACATTAACCTTATTTATCCTTTCTGAGTCTTTTCATTTTTTTGCTATGCATTCAGGTTACCAACAGGTGTCAACTTCCTCCAACACAGCTCTACTCCCTTTCACCTCCTTTGGGCTATTTTTTATAAATATGTTAGATTTATATTTGTTATAAGCCCTAGATTATATTTTGAATGAAAAGTCTGTACCAGGCTTGTCCAACCTGCGGCCTGGGGACCATATGCAGCCCAGGATGGCTTTGAATGTGGCCCAACACAAATTCATAAACTTTCTTAAAACACTGAGGGTTTTTTTTTTTCTCATGAGCTATTGTTAGTGTTAGTGTATTTTATGTGGCCCAAGACAATTCTTCTTCCAGTGTGGCCCAGGGAAGCCAAAAGGGTGGACAGCCTTGTGTCCGATTATTCTACACAATATAGAAAAATGATTAGTTACTGCAGCCCTGGGTTCCTGGCAGACTAAAGAGAAACACCCAATAGAAACAACTTCCTTCTAGCAAGATTTAGCAATGGTAATTAAGAGACTTCATAACTTTGTGATCTGTTCAAAAGACTGCCCAAAGCTAAGCCTAAAGGAACTCTCCAAGTTATTAAAGAGAGTTTCACAACTCTGGAGCCTTTTGTGAACAGGACAGCAATGCACTGAAACTATCAGAACTGCTTTAATGTCTGATATTCCTATGGTTATAGAGAACCAACATGAATATTGCCGTTAGAATTACTAGAGAGCTCCTTTTTCTTATATAAATACTTCAACAAATATGAGTTTTGCATAAAGACATCTTTTTTCAGAAGCTGAATAATGAGCGAATGCTTTTTTACAATGTTTTATATTTTTGACTTTTAAAATTTGTTCAGCATCCTGAGTGAGACAAGTCTAAGAATGAAATCAAATGCAAATCTGGCAACAGAGATGTTTTGTGACTCATGAGTAAGCCATTCAGGTACAGACAATACCTGTCAGGCAGGTTAGGTGTGTTGCTAGATCACTTTCTCCAAGCTCAAACACAGATGTGATGTCTAGACACCCACATAAGGTATTTCATGCTAAAATCAAGAAATACTGGGAGTTCCACTGAGACCTTAACTTTCAGGAAAAAAGAAATAAGTGTGCTCAAAGAAGAGTAGCTATAATCAGTCTTTGGACACAGAAATGTTGCACTCTTTTTGGGGGGTCCTTTCTTGAAGCAGACGTTTCTTTCCATTTCTTTTTTTCTTTGTCAGAAAATCATTTCACAAAGCGCTTTGAGATTTAACTAAATTTTCTTATTTTGTTTAAAAAGTTGAGCTGGGGCCAGGCATGGTGGCTCACTCCTGTAATCCCAGCATTTTGGGAGGCCGAGGTGGGTGGATCAAATGAGGTCAGGAGTTTCAGACCAGCCTGGCCAACATGGTGAATCCCCGTCTCTACTAAAATTACAAAACTTAGCCAGGCATTGTGGCATGTGCCTGTAATCCCAGCTACTCAGGAGGCTGAGGCAGGAGAATGGCTTGAACCCGGGAGGTGGAGGTTGCAGTGAGCCAAGGTCGTGCCACTGCACTCCAGTCTGGGCAGTAGAGCGAGATTTCATCTCAAACAAACAAACAAACAAACAAAAAAAGTTAAGTTGGAATTTGAGCTTATTTATTATTCCTTGAAAATAAAGTGTAGATACCCTCAATTGCTACCGTAGGGAGTGCAAGAGCTCACAGCAAGAGCTCAGTGAGTATAATTTGTCCTCCTGGGTTTTTGTTTGTTTGTTTTGATTGCACATTCACTCTATCAATAATATGAATGTTTCAAATTTTGTCTTTGAAATGTGGACTAGCAAAATTACTAAGATACTGAGTACTTAAAGTTACTTATAAAATACTGCTTAAAGATATCAACAATTGTTGGTCTGTAAAGCACTCTAGAAGTTGTTTACAATTTTTACTGACAACTACGTGAAATGTAAACATAAAACATTTGGATCTTTGATGAGCCTCAATTAGAGATGGTTTTTTCCAGAATATGTCATTTTTCCAATGATAAATGGTTTAGATTGTGTTAATATTTCTGTTCCACAATTGTAGTATTTCCTTTTGCCCATTGGCTTTTTATTCATTCATTTCTTCAAAAAATAAATATTATATTGTTTCATCCCGGTGCTTATATGGAGGCTCAGGAGGCTCTGCATCCCGACCCCTCCGCTTTCTGTCTTACCTGCCAGGTCAGGATGAGAAATGCCATTGGGTTTATTGAGGCAGGGATGGTGAGTCTAGCTTTCAGTGTCCTGTACCTGGCTGACATGATTTTCTTCACCATCACTTGCTCTGGCTGATACTTGTATCCATATAGAAAAAGGCAGATATAACAAAAGCTTTGAACAAATGAAATCAAATTCTAATTCTACTAGAAGGCACCTGATGTCATTCTCTTAATGACTTTTTAGAGTATTACTGCACTGATACCCTCCACCAGGGGGTAGGGGAGGAAGCCTATATTCTACTCTGTCTGCATATCTAGTACTTTGCTAGTGGCCGATTTGGTGCTCTGTAAACAGGTCCTTTCTTCCTGATACTTTCATATTCTTAAGCCCATTAACAGCATGAGGTAGACACATATGGGTGGATTCCCAAGTCAGATGCTTGGTTCTGAAACTATCTCTAAAATCGACTGTAGATTGATTTTCAGACCATTTTCCAGTGATGGAAACAGGCTCTCCCTGTGAGTTTATACAGGCTTGTTTCCCCTAATGTTTCACCCAAAATGAGGTTAACCCTGGAAATTCCAGTGCCCCTTAGCTACAGGGGCCCTCCACTGAGAATGGCTTACTCCTAGGTAGGGTACAAATATTATGCTTGTTGCCTGTTCACATCCCAGGAAAAATACTGATTTCTGCTCCTGAAGTCATAAAAGATTATTCAGTCATAAGCCCTATGTTTGAGACTATCTTCAACTATAAGCGGCTGCACACATTCAGCTTGTTCTTCCTGACTGAGGAGGTCCAGAAGCAGACAGTCTGTGGGTGGGAGTGTAACTCACAATGTCATCAGGGACCCAGTTCCTTTTCATTTCTACTCAGTCATCCTTGGCACAGATGTGTTGCCCTGCATTACAAGAGGGATGTTTGGTCCACCAGCAGCAGGAGGAAGGGAAAGGGGCAATGGGCAAAGATAACATATCCATTAGCAAACCCTTCTAAAGAGATTTCCCAGAGGCAGGACGAACTTCTCACCCAAAATTTGGTTCAGATGTTGAGACTGATGATACCACACATGCATCCACTAAGAAAGTATGGAAAGGTTTATTACTCACGTAATGATCCAAAAATAGCTTTAGAGACCAGAGAAGAGAGACTGACTTGGCATTTATTGTGGGTAGAGGTGAAGCTGGGGTGAAGGCTCTTGCACATGGGTGGAGGCTTGTGGGGTTTAAATTTCCCACCAATTCCAAAGGAGGGAGCACTTGGGCTTTCTTATCAGCTTCCTGGATGTGGAACAAAAGGAGAAGAGGGAGTAATGGGATTTGAATGCAGCCAGACATCAGAAATGTAGTCAGACTCTTTATTGCACTGTCTCAATACCCTTCTCCTGGCATCTTAACGCAGGCTGAGAAATGCGGTGTTTTAGTGGCCACAATGGAGGGCTGTTAGCACAGAAGGAGTGCAGGATGGAGGTGAGCGGAGGGAAGGCAGCAGGCTTTTCCAGCCCAGCCATCTCATCTTTCCTGCTGACCTCCATTCAGAGATGAAAAGTGACCTTGGCTGCCCACCAGGATCAATGGTGTTGAGGCACTTGGCTCACTTTTGTTACATAACCAAATCCAGTGAACTACAGTAATATGGCCTTTTCCAAAGCATGGAGGAGCAAGAGGAAAACCACGAGAAGGAAGAAAAGAGCTACCCTTTGGGACAGAGCAGAGCCCAGTGAGTGTGTTGAGCTATAAATACGGGCATCCTAAAGATCCATCGCAATGGTATGTCCTTCTGATAATTGCAAAGAAAAAGGGAACACACAAGTTAAAAACAACAACAATAACAATAACAATAGAAAGCAAAACAGCCTAATTCTGTCCTCTAGACTGGAGACTGTAATTTCCACCGACCCCCTTGGGACACTATTAAGTTTATTCTAGGGTGAGTGGGTGTGCAAGGGAGGCAGTGAGTATGGCTGAGATCACCTGGTGGCAGGGTGCTCAGGCACGGCCACAGGTTCTACATGGCCCTGCGTGGCCTGAGTCTCTAGACAGTTGGGAAGCTCCACCTTCTGCCCCAGCCCAAGGGGGCTGGGGCAGTCATGGTTATAGCAATTTTCATAATTCTCAGGGATCAATGATGAGCATTGAGCAGGCTTGATTCTCACACACATACGCGGTGGCCTGGTCTTCCAGTCATCGGAGGGTACTCAGGAAAGGCAGCCAGTGGGATAGGAAGCTCGAGGGGTCCCCATCAGCCAGAATCAGCACCTTGTTAGGAATGTAGACAGGGTGTACACACTGCACCAGAACTTTGGTGTCCTTGGCCTGGTGGTCTCCACAGATCGCGATCTGCCTGAGGGTCTGCTGCTGTACTGAGAGGGCACGGACCACCTCCAGCAATGCCATTGGGACATGGTGCATGTGTTGGGAGAAGGTGGTCAATAGGCACACACATTTGTCCATCCAGTCCTTGTGACCCATGAAGCCGTGCAGCCAGGGCAGGTTGTGGGCTGATCCAGAACTGGCGCTGGACTCTGAAGACTGTAATGTTTTAAACTCTAGGAGGAATGTCCTCTGAAAGATTGTTCAGAAGAGGAAGTATTTTTCCCCACTGGAAGGAAAAGAGGGGAGAAGAGTCAGAATGATTAGATAAAAGTGCTTTCTAATATGTTATTGTTCAGAGTACAGTGTAGAAAAACAAAAGTATAGTAAAAAATGATTCTCCCTTTCAGTTCTCTCTTTTACCTTTCTCTCTCTCACATTTTTGTACTCAGATGTTGCTCCCTGGTTGAAAATAATTCCGCAGTTGAAAAGCAAGTCACTTGGGAAGATCTGGAAGTTAAAGCCCTATCAATACTTTTCAAATATGACAATAAATATCTGGGCAATGATGAAGGGCGACTTGCAGGAACACCATTTTCCATTGAGAAGGTGGTTATTGGCTTGCTATTAGAGGAGGAAGAAAGATCTATGTTTATGGAGCTGATGGAGAAGCATTCAGAACTAGCTGTTTTTGTGTTTAATATTTCAGTGAGGCAGGTATCCCTGAAGGTATGTTGACACTTACCTCTAAGGATTCAACCAGAAGTCTCTTTGATTTGACATTTATTTTACAACTTTGATGGTTGTGACCGCTGCTCAGTTCCCACAGGTTGCTGTTTGACCACCCCAAGGTCACAAAGCCACGAAGTCAAAAAATATGTTCAATTCAGTAGCCAGTTACGGCTCTGGGCTCAGGGACCCCATCTCCCCAAAAACTAGCAGTCTAGAGGACTCCCTTGGCAGAGAATCTGAGCACATGCATTCTGAGAAGCTTCTTCTGGGGTCCTGATTTATTTTTATTTTTCCCCTTTTTCCCCTTTATTCTCTTGATGAGCTTCAAAAAAAAAAAAAATTCCATTGCAGCTGGAAAGGCAGAAAAGGCACTTAACTTCAACTATATTTTTGATACCCTAGGAAAACTAATTAGAAAGAATACACAGAGAACAAGGTATGGCATAGATGCACAAGATCTTTGCAGGCCAGTGAGTAAACCGAAGACACGATAAATCGTGGGTCTGCCAACCTTATCTTAAAGTGAAAAATTGAGCTACAAACAAAATACAAGTGCCACCACTCCTAGTGTGAAGAAGTCGGCTTGGGCCCATATCCCAACTTTAAGTAAAGTAGAAAACATTTCTTTTATGTCTGCTTTGCCGTGACTGCCCTGCAGTGGAAACAGGACATTTTTGCCATGCATTTATCATTTGATGCAGATGTTTGGCTCAAGTTTCCTAATCTTGTCAGCAAAGTTGACGTTAAAACATTAGAACAAGAATTGTGGTTTATTTACGTTTTCTTACGAGGCGCAAATTTGCATATAGGAGCATTGTTTTTATTGCAGCTTCTTAGAGAGCCTCTAGTTTTGGAGTGCATGCCCTATTTTTTCTCCATGAATAGTTTGATAGTTGTACTTAAATTTATGGGTTCTTTCTACCTCTTTCTACCTTTATTTCTCCAAGTACCAGCACATTTTATTACAGTGATTGCTGCTTTCCTGTTTTTTTTTAATAGCCATCAAGAAATATAGACTGCCACCATAGCATTGCAGGTGGCTAACCCCATCTTGACCTCTAGACTTTTCTAAGTCTGCAAAGAATAAAAACAAGGAGGAATTTGCAAAGTTCATCAAGTCTAGACCTTCCTTCGAGGCCTAATGACTATATTTGAAGCCACTCTGGCCAGTTTTCCTGATTGGAAATGGTTAAAAAGTAGCTAGGAAGTTCTGAAAAAGCAAAAGTGGTTAAGATAACAAGTTAAGCATTAGCAAGGAAGTTTTTCTTGAGCTCAAGTATTAATACATGGTCTGGGCTTTAGGAGTAATTTTACACCAGTTGTCTGTTTTCCTTTTAGAGTTGGATGGAAAGTTGTTCTCAAAACGCATCTGAGTTGTTGAATATCCATTATGTTACAGGGAAGCCATTCCTTCTTCCAAAACAGTTTTAATTTTTATGGAGTCTAAGTTAAAACAGGAACATTTATTTTCTTATGGGTAAAGTTCCTGGAATGCTCTATTACGTGGATTTAGTACATTTTTTGACCAAATAACACTTTACCAAACATTATTTTCAAAATTGACTTCTCTTAAAAAAAAAAAAAAAGATTTAAAAATACGATTCCTTTTGCTGATGAGCGTCATACTTTGGCATTTAGTCTGTAAAACCTTGGCGTTTAGTCTGTCTTCCTGGAGCTCAGTTCTTGAAATGCATGTCTTGCATTCAGGGCTTTCATAGTTAACAGGTGGAACCAGCCACTGGTGTTCTCCTTATAATAAAAATTATACTTGTGTATTAACATTGCTCTTGAAGTTAATAAACACACCCAAATCTGGTTAATTTGTTCAAGTTATTGACAGATTCTCTGTGATTTACTGGGATTAATGAGTATGCAAATACAAGGAAAAATGCCCAGGATAGAGAACATCATGGAACATATTGTACCTTATTGTAAAATAAAAATAGCCCTGGACAGCCCATGGAATGCGTTCTAACAGCATAATCAGTTCTTTACTGTGGTTTTCCTGCCAGCCGGGGAGCCCTGCGTCACAGAGGGTGGGTGCCAAGTGTCTGGTTTGCGCTTTGGTAAGATTTTTCTTTTTCTTCCTGATAATTTTCAGGTTTGCAGTTTCTCCAAATGCAAAACATCCAAGCCACCTCCCTCTGCAGTGGAGTATTGATTTTGTTCTAGATTTCTCAGCAAAGGTTGGGATATTAGAGTTGAAAACACAAGTGGGTAGGGTGAGCCCACAGTCTCTGTGACGGGGCCTGCTGGACACTCCCAGTCTGCTGGCGAATGACAGAGGCCTGGGACAGCATGGTGGAATTTTCGTCTTGTACAAATGAGTTTGGCGTCTTAAATCCAGGTCCTCTGCTACCAACAGCGAATTTGTTACAGTGTGAAGTGTTGAGGCAACTACCTAAATAAATCTGGGCAAAATATACTATCAAATCAATCAGGGATTTCCACCCTTCATGAATTATCTCACATTTTAGTCTAAATTGTTTAAGAATGACTGACTCACAGCTGGGTGCAGAGGCTCATGCCTGTAATCCTAGCACTTTGGGAGGCCGAGGCAGGCAGATTGCCTGAGCTTTGGAGTTCAAGACCAGCCTGGGCAACACAGTAAAATTCAGTCTCCACTAAAATACAAAAAAATTAGCTAGGCATTGTGGCGGGCGCCTGTAATCCCAGCTACTTGGGAGACTGAGGCAGGAGAATTGCTTGAACTAGGGAGGTGGAAGTTGCAGTGAGCCGAGATTGCGCCACTGCCCTCCAGCCTGGGCAACAGAGTGAGACTCCGTCTCCAAAAAAAAAATGACTTGCTCCCTTGCTCCCTTTTTGCCCTCTGTGCATATGGCCCTAGAGTCAGTGTTTGAAAAACTGCTTTCCACTGTCCAGAGAGGATTATTCTTAATAGGCTGATGATCCTGCAGCCCACGGCCACCCTTCTGGGCTCTAGTCACCTCTAGTCCACGTCGTGTTAATTGGTCATTTTGTTTTGTGCAGGCAAGACTTGGATGTGCAGTTTTCATGCCATCTCTTGATTGTTTACCCAAACATAAAATGTAACCAGGGAACCAGCAATATGGTAGTTATGCACTTTCCAAATCAACTTGAAGTTGATCCTAAATGCTGTTTCCACTACTGTTTCTCTGATGCGGGTTCTGCCCCAGTGATAGTGAGCTGGCATTACTGTGAACCAGGATTGCACATGGGGGCTACATGTGGAAACTCCGACCCCATGGTGCCTGCCACACACTAACACACATACTCTTTGAGACCCAACCAAAACAGCACTCAGGGGCAAAGAGTTTAAAGAGACGGGGCTTTATCCAACATTGGAACTATTTTAAATGCCCGAAGTAGCTCCATTTCAAGTTCTTCAAATGGCCTATGAAGCTCTATAGGACACCTTTCCCTAAGCCCTTGCCCTCGCACCTCCCCTGACACGCCCAGCATCTCTCTTCTGGAGGCCTTCCCCGCTAAAGCTTTCTGTGCAACTTCTTGGCTGACTCATCTATCCCCACCAGGCTCTATCTAACAGCAGCCTCATCAGGGACACCTTCCCCTCCTGCCATCACCCTCACCTGCTCTGTGCTCCCCCAGCCCATATCTTCATTACATAAACTATTTATTTGTATGCTCACTTATAAGCTTAAGGGAAAGAGACAGTAAGCTTGTCAGGGTAGGAAGTCTGTTTTGTTTATTGCAGTCTCCATATCCTACGGAAGGGTGCCGGGCCCACTGTAGATGCTAAATTAAAACCTGGTAAATGTTGAACAAATAAAATGATTAAATCAAATGGTGTAGTATGCAAGGAAGAAACAAAGATAGGGATTCAAGTCCCCGCCTCTCTACCTGGCTGTGTGACTTCAGTCCAGTTATTGAACTTCTCTTGCTTTTAATCTTCTTATCATTATAATTATTGAGATTTGGGCCACGTTTTTAGAAAGTTAAGATTTTGGGTGGCTTTTCGAGCTTTAACACTTTAAAATTGTTTATCTTCTTTTCAGAATTTTTTTTTTTTTTTTCCTGCTGGGCTGTAATTTTCTTAAGGGCAGGATTATAAAAGATGCATCGTTTTATTTCCTGAAATTCACAGGATAACACTTACACGAAGGTGCTCAATAATCACTTGTTGGAAATAACCGTTTTCCCCCCCCAGAAAGGCTGTTTCAAAATGTGTATTTTATAGTATTTGATTTGCTAGATCGAGGGTTGGCAAACATTTTCTGAAAGAAGTCCAGCTAGTAAATATTTTGAGCTTTGCGGCCATACTTCTTCTTTTTTTTTTTTTTGAGGCAGAATCTCACTCTGTTGCCCAGACTGGAGTGCAGTGGTGTGATCTCGGCTCACTGCAACCTCCACCTCCCAGGTTCAAGCGTTTCTACTGCCTCAGCCTCCCAAGTAGCTGGGATTACCTGCCACCACGCCCTGCTAATTTTTGTATTTTTAGTAGAGACAGAGTTTTGTCATGTTGGCCAGACTAGTCTCGAGCTCCTGACCTCAGGTGATCTGCCCGCCTCAGACTTCCAAAGTGCTGGGATTACAGGCGTGAGCCACCAAGCCCGG